ACACGTCTTCGCTTGTGAATATTCAAAATTGTTTGCAGCGTGTTGTAGTTCCTTTGATACTTGTCCTAATTTCTCTGKGCGGTCTTCCGTTGACAGAGTCGAACATTTCATTGATCAACCGTCTTCCCTTTGGACCGCACTTACCTTTTTATGGGCGTGACGTGTTCACCATGTATCGTCGACATCGATATTTCTTTTGGCTAAATACTGGTGAATTACCCTAGACACTAGAACAGATAGTTAGCGGATGTTTCTCCACAATTATGTCGTACTAATAGAAATGGGAACATTAGACAGAGAGAGAGAAGAGGAAAACTGAATATGACAAATCAAGTGTTACTGGTCATGATCTGGCTAAGAAAGTATCCCTATCTTGATAGCCTTGCATTGTTATTTGAYGTAAGCACTCAAACTGTATCGGCAATTGTCTATCATGTAGTTCCCGTTCTTTGGAGATATTTTCAAAGTCAAGTTACTTGGCCCACCATAGCTGAATGGAATGCTATGCGAGGCTCTTGGGAATCGTTTCCAAACGCGGTAGGGTGCATTGATGGTACTCCTCACAGGATATATAGGCCACGGGTAGAACCACAGCGTGATTTTTATAGCGGACATCGTCATTATAGCCAGACATTAGCCGATCAAGGATACCCTGATATAGAACCCCTTGTGACACCGTTTCGACAGCAGCAAATCAGACAAATGGGAGTAGGAACAAAACGCCGTGCCCAGAAATTCAACCGACACCCAACTCACTACCGTGTTTCAGTGGAGCATACGATCAATGACATGTGAAGACTTATAAAGCTATAGGATCTCTCTGGCGTCACCCACGCTGGTTCCAACCTGTTGCTGTGGAGATGTGCACATTTCTAGCACAACGCCATATAGAGCTATTTCAGACAGTTTGAGACATGAGATATTACCAAAGTCCCTATAGGGCCTTAGTGAATGTTAATGGCACTTTATTTATTCATGTCACTTTGACTTGTTTTTGTTTTCAATGAAATATCATTTTTTAATTCGTRGAACAAAGTGTTTATGATTTWAATWCAGTCAGTTTCGTASACGCAATGCCTGATCGGGTGGTTAGTTAAACTCATTTGCATATTTTGACTCACATTGTCATAAATAGTGAGTTAGTGAGCTTACACGGAACATCTCTAATTAGGTGTTGTATTAACTATGGTCAGGTTTAACAGTTAAATTATACATCTATTTACATAAATTCTTACTCCCCACAGAGTACAAACACTAAAAGTATCCAGTACTTTGTACTATTTAGCACTAATTGAAAGAAAGAAAACAATATAAACTAGAATAAATGAATACTGTTTAGCCAAGTTTGAATAGGTTGCACGCTTTTAGTCTTTGTACTCTTTTCGATATCTGTCAAAAACAAAAAAAACTATTATCAGATAATAGTTTTTTTGTTTTTGATAATACACATATAATAGGCTCTGATAACAGTCCGCAATTATTTGCATGCTTCAAGCTTAGTAATAATCAAAAGGATTTTTATCTCGTCTCCCTATGACGTACTGGTGTGGTAGAATCGTAAATATTCCCCCGATGATCATGTTTGAATCGATCGAATACTTTAACATTAGAATCGTAAAACCAATCAACTAAAATCAACAGTAGCCTTACCTCAATTATCTGGCTTGGCTTGTTGCTCCAGAAGAACTAAATGCTGACATGTCTCAATCTTGAAGTGCTTTAGATATTTCTATAAATGAATACGTACGTATCCTCCGGTGCAGAACGTCTGCACTATATATTCCATTCAGAATAGGTTGCTATCAATAGACGTCACTTCCGGTAATAGCTGCGTTTTTAATGGCTTGTAGAATCTTGGAGGTTGTTTTGATCTCTTGTTTTCTGGTTTCATGTCGTAAAAATAGTCAAATGCAATAGTTTGAAGATTTATTTTGACATGTTTTGACTTAACATCCGCTAGTTGCCCCTCAGTCAACTGCTTGTTTGGCCCCCAGTCAACTCCAAAAAAAGTCACGTGATTGATAGCAAGCAATACAGTAAACATCACTAATTCTTACCAGCTCTGGACTACGCGAACATTTTGGACAATAGAGTGCAACCCATATATCTGTGAAGTAGCACAAAAACTAAATAGCACTGTTCTTTCTACTCTGTATTTCTTTTGTTTTCGATTGTTTCATTGGTGCTATTTTGTACTAATTAGTTAGTGCTGTTTCACTCTGATATATGGTTTGCACTCTGACATTCTTTTAACTCAGCATAAAGAACTTTTTTTTTTTCACTGAATAGTCTTTGTTTTATAATAATCTCTATGATTAAAATACAAGCCCAGGTGATGAAATCTATTCATTCAACTAGGCCTGGGTCCACTGGCGTATTATATATGTGGAACCCACCCTAAAACGCCTGCCATCAACATACTTCCAGACGGAGCAACGTGGGATTTAATTCTAGGTCATTTACTATGATATTAAATAGAATTGGTCCGAACTTAGTTCCTGTGGGACGCCTGCACAGACGGGAAGACACTTGGACACGCTTTGATCAAGCCTAACACATTCTATACGATCTGAAAGAAAGCTTCATATTCATTTAGTAGTGAGTGGAGAATGGTGTTTAGAATAGAATAGAATAGAATAAATCATATATATAGCGCCAAAATCCTAAAGTTCAATGGCGCTTAAATATAATGCATTATAAATACGCTATACAAACGCCCGCAGCCTGTTTTGCAATGAAGTGTAAGAAAATTGCATATTTGTTTCTATAGAGCAGTTAATTTTGTTCTAGCACAAAGATGAATCAGATACCTATGAAAATCTTTGAAATCATCATGTACGGCTCTCGCCGGTCCTCATCCATTCTGAAAAGAAAAATTTTTTTATTGGTGATTACTTTGTACATTCTTTTCGCTGCTATCTGTTTACGGTGTTCCTGATCATTAGTTATGCTCTGATCAATAATCCCGAAGTGTCATATCCCACGAGGTACTTTTAAGCTTATACATACGTGGGATATTCCGGGATACGGCTGCTGTCACGAGAAAGCACTGTATATTAACTATTTCATCTCCCCGACTAATGAAAATTCCCAGGGCAATGTCTGATGGGAAGGAACAGTAGAATACCGTCGAATATACAACATTGTTTTGATTTCTGCACACGGACAGACTGATTCGTCCTTCCTTTCCAGCCCCCTCCCCCAGGGATTTTTGACTCGTAACCAATCTTCCTGCCAATCGACACGGACAGACAGACGGACATTGACCAAGGGAAATAGGGGGACTGCTCGCAGTCTCAGTACTATACAACTTGTATATTTCACCATCTAAAGCAAAACTATGTCAGGTGTGCCAGCAACATAGGTACTAAATTCTTATCCTTTTACAAGAACATTGAGAAAGCACACCTCAGTACTCAATACTCTACTTAAATATCTCTCTTAATTTAAATTCACCTTCAACTTCCTCGGCAAGTTGTCTGTTCTYTAATTTCTTTTCAAGGACCTCCTTAAGTTTTGCTGGCGTTGCTTCCTTTCCAMACTTTTGTTGCCACTTAGAAAACATTTGTACTGCTTTCTCTTCGGTGTATTTAYAATCATCATCTATTGCCTTGATAGTGTAATCTTTAATACCAAGGTGTCGTGCAAGAAACTTCCATTTTATGCCGACTTTTTTGGCGAAGCTATGCAGAAAATCTGGAAAAGCTTTGTCTGGTCTGAGCTGAGGTGTAATGGAGCCACCAACTCCACCAGTAGCTTCACTTCTACTCAGKGGACGTTGTTCTGCAGTAGGGTTCCCCCTCCCACCTTCACTCCTTCCAGAAAGAAGCTGATCTGGAGGGTTGCCCCTTCCTTCTTCACTTCTTGGTCTCAGCTGAGGTGGTAGGGTGCCAGCAGATCCATCAGTTCTAACTGTTGGCAGCGGAGGTGGATGGGAGTCACCAGCTCCATGAGTACCTTCATTCCTTCCAGAGAGAAGCTGATCTAGACGAGGGTTGCCCCTTCCTTCTTCGCTTCTTGGTCTCAGCTGAGGTGATAAGGTACCAGCAGATCCATCAGTTCTAACTGTTGGCAGCGGAGGTGGATGGGAGTCACCAGCTCCATGAGTACCTTCACTCCTTCCAGAGAGAAGCTGATCTAGACGAGGGTTGCCCCTTCCTTCTTCGCTTCTTGGTCTCAGCTGAGGTGGTAAGGTACCAGCAGATCCATCAGTTCTAACTGTTGGCAGCAGAGGTGGATGGGAGTCACCAGCTCCATGAGTACCTTCACTCCTTCCAGAGAGAAGCTGATCTAGAGGAGGGTTGCCCCTTCCTTCTTCGCTTCTTGGTCTCAGCTGAGGTGGTAGGGTACCAGCAGATCCATCAGTTCTAACTGTTGACAGCGGAGGTGGATGGGAGTCACCAGGTCCATGAGTACCTTCACTCCTTCCAGAGGGAAGCTGATCTAGAGGAGAGTTGCCCCTTCCTTCTTCACTTCTTCCAGAAAGGGACCTTCTTCTTTCTGCAGGTTCATCGATGTCTTCTAGTCCTGTTCAAAGAACATCATCAATGAAATTTACTATTCTATTCCATTCATTCATTCAATCATTCATTCATTCATCCAT